AGTTCTCATTGTTTGCTTGTTGCTTATTTCCTTTTATTTCCTGTTTTCAGTTCGCGTTTCCAACTGGGTAATTTACATCTAAATGGAATAATGGGCGTTGGAGCGCTTGCTCTTTAAACACACATGACTGTTGGTTTTTTCGGGGCTAAGGGTGATAGTTGGATAAGGATGGTTTTCTTGGTGTTAAGCTTCCTTTCAGCTATCGGTGGTCCACATTTAATCGAAAGCAAGAGGGTTAAAGGCAAAAAATTCTGGGAAATAGTAGCGAGTATATTGGAAATCTTTGAAGTGGATAAAAGGGAAGCTCAACTAAAAAAATATAAACATTTTTGCGTATATTTAGCTAAAATAAATCGAAATCCTTTTATTGCTTAATACTGAAAGTAATTCGCACATCGGTAAAAGTCTTATTTATCTACTTAGCTTTCACCCTTACAAACATAGTTAAATATTTTGTAATTGAAAATATTATTTTCAACATTTATGTAATTTTGCCTTTGCCAAGGGAACCTAAGCTCCTTAAAGTAATGCCTCAATATTCCTAGCTATTTCATTAGTTTCCAAACATTGCTAAGCTGACAGAATTTCGTACTTGTATGCATACAAAATCCCACAAACAGATTTACCCCATCCTGGCCTCAAATTTATGATCAGGTGTTATGGCCCCGCATTATTAATAATTATTTGGTACAAAGGACAAAGGAACCCGAGGCGGACATAATTCGCAGGGTCACGCCCTCTCACGAATCGGATGATGACTGTGCCTGACATTTCCCAGTGTCAAATGCAAATGGAATTTGCATTTGAATGGCTTCACTCACCTCAGTGCCAAGTTATGCAACTCAATTTGAATGTTGCACGTCGAGTGGCGGCTCGTCCTTGGCCAAAAAGGGGCGAGAGATGTGGGTGAAATTCTGTAGTATAAGCCAACATCCCAGATTACGGGTTAACTGTTTATAATGCACTGGCAACGAGAGTCTATGCTAATTACGTGTGGAAAAAGTGGGTGAAATGCATAATTGAAAAATTAAATATGCTAATGGAAAACGCATTTTGTTTACTCGGACTGAAACGCTCTGTGTTGATAGAGCATAATCGAAATTCGAAACGCAGTTGAATTCATAAATTATTTCTCATAAACTTTTGTCAAATTAAATACAATGGATAAATGAAAATTTATCTCAGGCAAAACTTTAAAAGCGAATCGTATTTATCACCCGCACAAAGAGACATAAAAATTATCTCTATCTTTGCCTGGCAGTTTATTGTCCCCATAATTTAAAGCGATTTAATCCGCCTGCCTTGGCTGTCTCGTTCACAATGGCAACCAATTAAGTTCTGTCACATCATTTTAATGAAATTAAAATAAAATCAGTGCGAATAAATAGGCCCATGATGGATGCCTGAAAACCGCAGGCTTTGCTTTGTCTCAAGGCTGAAAAATGTCCTACCGACGGTTTTAAAATTCAGGCCATGTCCGCCGGCGTCTGACAGAACCACTCAACCACACCCCCCCCAAAAAAAAAGGAGCCCCAAATCCACCCACTCACCCACTGACTGACTGACTACATGAACAAGGTGCTGCCTGTTTGCTTGCGGCTTCAACTGCTGCATGAATCCTTAAGTGACTATGAACCAAAAAAAAAAATGGGGAAAATGGTAAAAAACAAAATGAACAACAAGATAAAACGGGTAACAGAAGCGGATGCCCGGGCAAAAGTAGACAAAACGCTTAGTCTACTCAATCCTCTGGAAAATTCAAGGGATGGGTAACGCGTAACGCCCATTTCTTGTTTGCTTTCCCCACTGTGTGAAGGTCGTGGTGACGTCGAGCTGGGAAAAAATTGCCAACTAAGTGTTGAGCATAATAATGAGAATAGCAAATGGAAAACCGACGCACTAACAGCCGGGGTTACAAAAATATTACTTAAGGAAAGTGAAAAGAACCTTCAAACCAACAGATAATAAATCTTTAGAAAGATGATACAATATATATTTATAATACAAACTAAAAGTACTGTAAAGTAAAAATACTGCTATACAGTATTTATTTTATAAATTCTACTGTATAGTATTAATTACTGGATAGTATTAATTTAATAAATACTACTGTCAAGGTTTTCTTATAAATATATATTATATTATCTTTCCTAAGTTGTATTATCTGTTGTTATATGGTTCTTTTACAGTTCTTTTTTTGTATATTAATGTGTTTCTTCTTTTTTTAATCAAGTTTTAAATAATTCCTATTTATAATTAAAATAGATATTATATCGATTACTTCTACTTTTCTACAAAGTATAACAGTGAGATCAATGTTCATTAAAAAATATATTTGGATTTATATTTAAGTTAATTAACATGTTTATTCCTAAAAAGTTTTTGAATTATTTTTTCTATAAAAAAAATTCTTATCACTTATTTTTAACCGCAACTGTTGTCAAGGAACCACACATATGAAATCCCGCTGTGATTCTGTTTGTATTTACCCAGTTTATCCTCGTCCAACTTTTACTTTTTGGCAGCCGTCTGTTTGTTTTAAATAATTTATGCCCGAGTACGGGCTTTATTTAACTTCATCATGTTAACGAGTCGGCTTATTCAGAGAACTACTCTTCTTTATGTCACACACATTCTGAATGCATATTCAAATGCGTTAACCGATATGCAAATTCATTTCCTGTACTTGGTCCCCAGGCAATTAGTCGGCCACTTTGATACAATTGGCTAAATTGCAAGCGACTCGATTTAATTTTGCCAGCTTGATATTCTGTCGGCCACAGGAAGTCATTGACATTGTCATTCGGTTTTTTGTGGCCTGATGGTTGTCTGCATGGCAGTCAAGTGAATTAGCATAAATTATTAGCCTCGCCGCTGGGGAATTGGCCTCGCTTTAGTCGGCTTTAATATTCTGCCTAAATGCAAATTTAATATTTCTTTCAAAGGTCATTTACTATTTATACTAAAGTCGATTTAAGTAAATCAACAGGGTCTTAATAAAAATAATTGGCTTATCAATTTGGATTTGTTTACAACATAAATTATGATAATTTTAAAAGGGGTCTTTTTGTTTACCAAAATAAAATTTTCAAATTAATACTTTTTGTGAGTACTAATCGTGAATATTAAGTTATTAACTTTAATATCTTGATTTTGGGTATAGTTATATATAGTTAGAGTATGGACTTTATAATAAAGATGTGGTAAAATAATTATGTTGAATTTCCCAAACAAGTTGTTGTGAAATCGTCAGGATCGTAAAAGTATTATGTCTTAAGCTTATGGCTTAAGCTTAACGATTATCATTGATCTGCGCTAATTTCCCGGCAATAATCGCAGCAATTAAATTAACGACTGTCTTTGCAGGATCTCAACAAAACGCTCGAGTAATCTTCCAATTTTTATTACCTCATTTCCTACTCCAAGGAACAGCCCATAGCAAAGCCATAAAATAGGGCGTAGCACCCTTCCTTATAAGCATAAATCAAATTATATATGCGCATAAACTAGAGGCGGTAGAGGGAAGTCAGCCATCTGCACAGCTGCTATTAAATATTACGCATACGCAGTGTTAACACTTTATAAACGCATTAGCGACCTTTCGACATCTCGAAAAGGGGCAAATACTGCATATTTCAGTTTGTATCTTGGCTCCCATATTAAAATACAATTTTCAACGACAGAAAATTTGGTATTAAGAATATGAAAAAAGGGAAAAAACTAGTTCAGGCTGGCAAATTTATTTATGAGCCAAGAAGGAAAAGGGCTTCCCTGACCATTGTCCGCCATAAATCATGCGATTATTGGTCGAAAACACGTGGCCAGATAAAGCTAATAAAAGGTGTGCCTCATACCTATAAGTAAGGTATTTCAAAAGTTATAAGAAAGTTAATATTAGACGAAGTAACTGTAGTAAATTATAGAAACATTGTCTTTTAACATTTGTAATGTTAGAGATATGAACTAGTATATTTAGTTTAATTTTCTAAAAATAATTAAAACAATTAAACAACAATTTTTTACCATAGGGGCTTAAGATACCATTAAATAAATTGTGATGTTAGATAAGTAAGTTTAGTATTTATATATAATTTTCATAGTAAAAAACCTTGACGTATATTTATTAATGCATTTTATTTGCCAGTAGGTTTTAGTTTTATTTAAAACTTTGTTTTGAAACGCACTGTATGCACGTGGCAACCAGGCCTTATAAATGGCTGTGCCACGCCCATAAGGCGCAGGACATTAAACTCAATGAGTTGAAATTATTTGCAGCTGAAGGTCAACTAAATGCGGACTGAATAAATGGCGCGGGAGTCTGGGAGAAAGTGGCTGAAATGGAGTACCCATGGTCGGATGGTCCTTGTGGGTGTGGCTGTTCGGGCGCCATTAAAGACAACTTCCGCAAACAATAAATTTTGCTTACCAAAGAAACTGGCTTCGCCTGATGGCGAAACGGAACCCAAAAATGGTTTGGTGGATGCTAAGAGCTTAGCGCTATTTTTTATACGGAAAAAAATATATATTCTAGGGGTTCTTTTATTTTCAACCGCCAAGCAAACTGGTGTCGATTAAGCTGTTATACATGTTGGTGGTTTAGTTAGAACTTCACGGTATTACTTTAATTTTTTTTTTTTGGGTAAAATTTGGTCTGAGTTTTTTGGCTGGCTAAATGCGCACGGTTGCGTTAATTTGTATGGATTATTTATGGTGGCCGTTGCCGTTTCTGCTGCTGGCAGCAAATGCGGCCACAAAGGAAGTGAAGCTGGCAAAACTCGAGTTTGGTTCGGGAAAACGTGGATGAGCTGCAAGTTTTCCAAAAGTTTGCAGCCTCACGAGTGCCAACTAAAATTTATGGTGGTGTTTTCAAAGTTGGCAGAGCTTCAGCTTCACCTCGCGTACATTTAATTTCCCTGACTGTACAAAATCAATTAACAAGAAATGAAGTGACAAGTTCGACATCGAATTGATATCAGTTTGGTTTTCTTCTCCGACCAAATATGTTGCTAGTTCTAGCGGGTTTTCACATTATAAGTTTTACTTGTGGACAGTATCGGAGTAAAAAAGAGGTTCAAGTATCTTATCCACACTGCGAGAGCATCATCAAAGATCCCAATTCTAATCTTGCAATCAATTTCCAATGCCTCGTGGTAAACTATAATTTATCTGCTACCCTTGAGGATGTTATCTTGAAAATGGATCAAGTTCAGCAGCATTTGGAACGAATTTCCCTTGATAATCAAAAATTCAAGCCATCGCCTTTTAAGAATATAGATGATATTTTGGAGATGCCAATTGATATATCCAATACAGATTGCCAAACAAAGAGACAAATTCTGCAAGCCATCCGTCGAAAACTGGAATGGTATAATGTGATGGATGAAAGATCGACCACTCTTTTTGCCTGGCCTTCGGAATCGAGTATATATAAACCCCAGATTTCCGAGCAGTATTCAAAAGTTGAATTGAGGTCCGATTACTCGAAAGTTTTGAATGAAATACGCTGTCTGCTGGCAAAGGCCATTGGAAATACAGGTAATAAATTAAGCTTTTAAACTTTTGTTGGCTCAATTGATTGCAACAATTAAAAAGGCACAAAAGCGGTGACAGGTGCGAAAAGTGCCCAGAGGGGCAGGGCTACTGCATTTAAATTGTAAATAAATATGTGAGCATCTCGCCGCACAATGGCACGCAATCAGCAAGCCTGAAGCGAAACTCTATCACAGAGGTGACGTCTGCACTGAGGAAAAAACTTGATCTTATAAGTTCTTATTGTAAATACAAAAACAAAATATTTTATAATAGTTTATGGTCTATTTTAAATATATCTAGATGCTTATAGTTTTAACATCTTTAAATATATCTTTTTTACAGATTCTAATGCTAAATTTGATGACGAATTCTAAATATGCACTTATGAATGGCATCAAATTGATGATCAAGATGATATCTCTTTTAACAATTTTAATAAAATCTTTTGTATTGTCTTGATACTCACTTTTAAAGAATTACTCTTGGGACTGTGCCTTACAACTATCGCATTTTTTAAAATCTTACTTGTAAATACCTTCAGTGCAATGAATATTGATTTCGAAAATTCAAGCTGATATGTTGAAAAAATAAAAGTTTCTATAGTAAAGAGTTTTTGAAATGATGTTTCTCATTGTAGCTGGTACAATATAGATTTAAATAAATTGTATAACAAAGTAATTATTAAATCTTGGGCCTGTTTTTAATTGATTTTTACTTCTTATAAAGAGTATTTTTAATTTATTTAGATGGTAAATCTCCAAATTAAGCCATCTTACTATGGGTATATACATTTTTTGTCGTGTCTGACAGAACCTGCTGTGCCGGCAGAAAAACTTGCGGTCACATGTGTGTGAAGTCCCCTTTTCGCTTTCGCCCAGTCGCTTGGCCTCGTTTTTAAATTGAAATCTCAGCAGCAAACGCTGGACATTCTCTTTCCCCGCGGTCAGGGAAAGAGAGAAAGTTGTCTCTGCACTTTTCCCGTCCTTGGTGTGCTTTAAATAATTGCTTAGAAGCCGAGCAGCACACACTCGTAACAATAATAACCGCCCAAGCACTAGGACTATGATAATAATAGCAAATAGAACCTGCCGCAGATGGAGCTGCCACTCGGACAGCCCCCATTTCCCCACATAAGCCTTTGGCTTATGACCCCTACTGCAAATGCATTTCACTTACTATATATATATATATATATAGTATAGTAGAGTAAAAGTGGAGAAGGGATGGCATGGGAGTAGTATGGGTGTTTATACTCGCTTTTAATGTGCCATATAAAATAATTTAATGACCAACCGGAGACGAGGGCGTCTCCTGGTAATGAGCAAAACGATTGGGGCCACTAAAGCGGGCGACTGTAAATGATATTAGTGGCATATTATGGTAACGATAGCCGTGACAAATGCCCTGGCCGCACTTTAATTGCTTAACACATAGATTCAGCATAGATTCCATACAAAAAACAATTATGTATATTTGCTTTTGTATTGAAATTGAGTAGTTAAGTAAATGAATATCAAATGGAGAAATGAATATGAAGTAATGTCTTTTTAATGACCGATATTTCCACTTGAAAACACATTTAAATGTCAAATTTATCTTACAAAAATATTTTTACTCTCTTCATTGTAATAAGTCATTCACCCTACTTAGGTATTTTAAAATCAAAGGACAGTAAATGTACAAATTATAAAACAAATTGCAGATGAAACCATTTATCAAATTAATTGGAAGAAAATTAAAGAATACGGTCCATAATGGACCCTTTTTTCCTTTTAGCATTTCCGGAATTTAAATAGCTATTTTTAAACTTTTCTCCCGAGCATCTTCCACCCTAGTCTGCAGAAATTTCCCATCGGTTGGCATAAGTCTACCCTAATTAAGTTATTCCTGGCCCGCCATAAGCAATTCCAAGCTCAATCCCCTTTTAAAGGAACCTTAAAACGGAATTAATTTCAAGTATTTTTATATCCGTTGAATTTCCTTTTGGTTCTTGGCTCGATTTGTCGCCATCTTGGTTTGTTTCTTATCCTGACTTTTCCTCCATTCATTTAACTGTCTTGGTCATTTTCTGCAAAATAGTTGCGCTTTATTTCCAGCCAACTCCGTCGCTCAAGTGACAGCTGTCTTCACCTCCACTTCCGCTAGAATGTCAATAAAAATTCAATTACGTTTTCCGCCGATGAAGAAATGTTGCCGCTGAAAATACGTTTTCTTTATGGCCTTCTGTTTCCATTTAAAATTGCCGGCTCTTTGTCAGGGGGAATTTGTTTGCCATCCTGATCGATTTGTGATGCTGGAATTGGGGTAGCGAAATCAGAGACACAGGCACTTATATTTAATGGCCTAATTATGTAACCAAACGCCCACACATAAATAGGCTGAGTAAATAATCATAATCATCAGTGTTTCGTCGGGGGGAAAAAACCATAAAGTTCTCTGGGTTCAAATAAAAATAAATTGCGCTTGGGCAATTTAGCGGAAATGTTTTTCTGGCTTGAACACATATGTTTATACTAGTTTTTTCTTTTTTTTTTGGTGGTTAAATAGTTGGGCTATGTTTATGCTGATGATGGCGAAGGTCGTTGGGCATAAAACCAAATTTTATGTTACCTTTTAGCAGGTAATATCAAAGAGCTCAGATATATTTTGCCCACTCTCTCACGCACACAAAACTGTTATACTGGCTGTAGTGTTATACGGCAAAGGCTGCTGCATACTTACAGGCTCTTTTGCGGAAAATTTCAGTCTCCCTTTGCAAGTGCTCACGTGAGGACGGAAAAACTTTTGCTCATCGCTTTTCGCCTCGCATTGGCAAGTCGCGTAAAATTCTCGTGAAAACAGGAAAACCACAGAAATTCTCCAACCCCCTCCCTCCAAAAGGGGAAAACCTCAAAGTTCTTGGGCTATCCGTATCAATCAGCGACTAAAGGCTTTAGTCCTTCTGTGAGTGTGTGCTTTTTGTGTGTGCGCTGTGTATTTAGTTGTGCCGGCTTTAATTAGCAGCTTTTCCCCATTCTACCACTGCTCTTCTGTGTGCGTAAGATTAATGAGGCAAAAGTGTTTTATCGTGTCGTGCGTTAAATATTTAATACAATATCATATAAATGTTGCATAAGCAGCCTGTCATTTAGCATCTTGTGCCAAAAAATAGTGTGTGCTTTCTGCTTTTACCGCAAGCAATTTGGACAGACAGAAAGTGGACATATACGATTAGCAAACAAGTTGATCAAGTAAGTTGCGATCATTACATATTTACAAAACTGGACCCAAATGTCACCCATTTTTGCCTCTTGTAACATCTTTTATTGGACCATTCTTCTGCTGAGATATCTTGAGCATTTTCACATTTCCCAAACGCATTTACAACATTTTTATTGCCCATTTTTGCTTTATTTCCGACATAAAAAAATCGTTTTCCAGGTAGATAATTTTGATTTGATATACGCGTAATTTCTTCTTTCGTTATTTGGTTGAATTCCTTTGTTGATGGCCTGCCAGGGAATTTCGATTTGCTTTTACCCTTCATTTATTTTCAGCTGGAGATGGAAATAATGGTAGAAATGCCCGCAAAATACATTTACATCTACAGAACTCCGGGGCCGGTTTTCATTTCAAATTGCTCACATTAAGGGGCCACCCCGGTCATCTCAACCTTTATAGCACCCGCATCCTTTGAATCTGGATATATATATACATATCTCCTCTTATTGCCCAACACAGGGTACAAAATTAATTGTAACCAAACGTTTTGCTGCTTACCGCAAACTTACTTTTATCCTAGTTCATTTGCCACGCCCCTATTCCCCACGGAATGGACACACTACCACATTTAAATGAATGCACAGTGTGTACAACACACAGAGAAAAAATGTGATTCTTCAATAGAAACATGTTTAAAGGAATGCACATTTAAGGAATGTTACGATGAGTTCATCAAAGGGTCATAAAAATATCCAAGGATTAAAAATACGCCAATATATTGATAAGAAGTACAAATTTTATACGCCTACATACAAAATAAAGTTTAAAAATTGTTGAAGTCCTTTTTTTTGAAAAGCAAAATCGAGATTTCCTTCAACTCTAATTCAAGATCGCTTAAATTAAAAGTTCAACTCAAGAGTACTTTTGTCTTGATTTCAAGAACGTTTCCTCTCAAACGAAAACATTTGATCTAAGCTTTTTTTAATTCTCAATTTTTCTGGGTGTAATTGTAAAGTTGTACAATCGCAAGAATTTTAAGCATTGAAAATTAAAATTATTAATTTTGAAGCTCTTTTCTGAGTGTACTTATACAAACACGTGCACACGTACATGGGGAGGCATGCGGCAGCATCCCAACTAAGTAAATAATGCGTAAAACAAGTCAAGCGTTTTACAAACCCACCCATTTCACCTCCCCTTTCCCCGTTAAATAGGGGGTTCTCACTGCGAAATGGGGAGTTTCACCATTTAGAAACTGTAGAAACAGTCAATTGTAAAATTGCTGCAGCCAACAAAGCGTGGCAATGAAGCTAAGCGAGTGCTCATAGGTAGTTGCCTGATGTTGCTGATGGCAAGGATTGCAGGATTCCTGAAACAAGGATTCCTCCGGTGGCTCTGTGTACGTAATTCATTATTATGCCGACGGAGGCTAGGAGGAAAAAAAAAGAAGCCAGAAGCAGGAAAAAATATTTGCGCACATGTGGCTAAAGTTTCCATCACTTCAGTCGGCTGCTGTTATTCTTGTTAACGCTAAAATTGTCTGTCACTTTGAGACTTCCGTCATCAGCAGGATAAAAGCTGTGGGAAAAATATGAGAACGAAAGATGAGACTGCCCATAGATGCTTGCAAATTGCTCCACTGCCTTTTGTTTGAGCAACAAGGATATTTAAAAATAATGTCGTTGGGTTTCACTTAAGCAGTTTATGTATGCCTTAAACATCAGGCTTAAAGGTGGAGGAAAATATTTTGTATTTTACTGTGTGACCAATCTCATAAAGTTTTAATTAGTGTGACCATCTGTCTATACTTTAACATGTCTTGTTCAGAATGTTTATATTGCATTAACACATTAACACTTTTAAAAACTACAAATATAGCCAGAAAATGTTACTTTTAAATAATGAAAAAAAATATAAAGGTCACCTGATTTTGAGCCAGAATTAAACTGTCAAAATAAATACAAAGAAACGAAAAATTTGACAACAAAAGAGAACAATACACAAATGGCACACGAAGTAAAAGTTTTTTTCGCTCATTTTTGTTTGACTTGTTTTCACTTTGACCCACCGAAAAGTTTTATATTTTTTACAACAGTCCTCGAAAATTGTGTGCCATAAATCAAGGGGCGTAAACGTGCCACCCCCACATATATAGACTAACAAAGAGAAAACTTGCACAATAATTTGGTATAAGCAGCAATTACTTTAAAAA